CCTGGGATTCTTGGCTGGCTGGCTGATCTGGTGATAAAGCATCACTGCTGTCTTCATCAAATGAATAATCATCCAAAGCTTGAGGATAATTCTCTTGTCCAACTGCTAGAATGTTTACAAAGAAACACACAAACCAGTTTTTTTTTAGTTACACAAATGAAATTTAGACATTGGTGGCAGAATTAGCTAATTACTAGAAAATGAGTTTTCAGCACAGTCTAAACATATGGTACATAAGTATTTATTGTGTTTTTAATATAACGACAGCCATATTAAATCATATTCAAGGAATCGATAAAACTAAGTGCATAGCAGAAGTTGTTTTAATAAGAGATTAAAAGGTATGTTCAACGTATGCGGAGTGCACACAGATACCTATGACAGACTGAGTAAGGCCATAGATGTTTGATTATTTTGTAATAATTTTTATTATGAAACAAATCTTTTCAAAGACAGTATTATACTCCAACTATATAATTCTAACTTAGTTTCAAATAAAAATAGGATAACTTTAATTAAATGACGACCGAGTTTAGGACTCAGAAGCTGAAAGAATAAATAGTAATAAACTTGGAGTATGTTTTCTTCTGGTGAACTTCACCCTCAAAAGTTAAATTATTATTTTCCACAATACCATGCAGATAACAGATAGAAGCTGTGGGACTTCTACTTGCCTATAATAGCTTCTTTAACGCTGGAGTCTACAGGAAGAATATTTTTTTCTACCAGTTCCATAGGGCCAGGCCTCTGAGCAATCTTCTCATTCAGATCATCTGCCAACCGAGCTCTCTTCAGCTTCATCTGAGTGGCTTGTAGTGAAGGCTCTGCAAAGGTCTCTGAAAAGATATATTGATTTAAATATTCTGTTCTGTCTTTTCCCCAATTTAAATATTCTGTTCCATCTTTCCCCCCAATCTTCTGTTCCATTTTTTCCCCATTTTCTTGTCTTTGCAGTAACCATTCCACTTTTATCAAAAGCAGGCAAGTATTATTCTGAAAATTCTCAAATTAATAAGCAAAAATAGGATTATGTGAGCAGATGTTGCTCATCCCCCATGATCATGTTTTTCTATAAACATAACCTCTTTTTTAACAGCAGTAATACTTTTTGTAAACATTCATATAACATCTAACAATAAAGCAGGGAATATAAAATAACAAATGCTAATTACAATCTGAAGACGGCATTTGCTGCTCGAATGGTTTACCAGTGTGAGCTATGGTAAAGGTTTAACTAATCCATTGATTTTTGGATTCTCTCTTGACAAACATCTTAAAAAGTTTACCTTTAAAAATAGCTTCTAGCAGAAATTTGAGTCTTCAAAATTGTATTTAAATGGAAGTACGGAGATAGGCTGTCAATATGGATGTCATCTATAAATATGTATACTCCTATCTGGGTTTAGTATCCAAATGTATGGTCTGAAAACTAACGGCTATTAAACTAACTTGGATTATGCTTATTTGGTAGGATTATGGTGAAACACAGCAATACAGCCCCATTCATGTAAAGACTATTGTTTCAAATGACCTGAGCAACAAGGAAAATAACAAGGCAGGGTGGATATCAAGTTTATTAAAGATTGTTTGGGGTGGCGGTGCTGGGGAAAAGTACAAGGCTGTCAGGTTATTTTAGGGTATGAGTAGAAATTGAAGCAATATAGACACTACATGTACATACACCATGGTATAATTACCATTATAGAATAAAAGCAATATACAATTGCAAACAAATACACAGTTGAGAATACTTGCACTGCCATATATGTATCTATTATTATACAGGTTTAGAATACAGATTACAACAGACACTGTAGAATTAGATAAGTAGAATAATAATATTTCTATTATTTAGAAATAATTCATATCAAAGCCTAATTCAGTTAGAAAACTGAGTGCATAACAGAAGTTCCTTCTAATAGCAGCTCAAAAGGTACATACAGCTGGGTACATACCTTCGAGGATGTGCATTCTGACCAGCTCAGACCGGTCCGGCCTGCTGCGAATCTTGTGCTTCAAAAAATTTTCAGTCTTTAAAGAAATGAGGAAATAGCATTAACTACTGTTTACTAGAAAAATCAAAGCAGTTTGATAAATCACTGATGTCCAATCAATGCGTATTTGCAGTTGCATTCAGATAGGTGGACATCGCTGTTAGAACATGGGCCATAGAGGGGTTTGGTTTGTTCTGTTTTTCTATCAGTTAAGCAGTGCTAATGAATTTCTATCTTCCCCAAACAAGTTGGGAACGTTTCTGGATTTCACAGAATCATAGAATACCAGGTTGGAAGGCACCTCAAGGATCATCTGGTCCAACCCTTCTAGCACAACCTAGATGAGATGGCCCAGCACCATGTCCAGCTGAGTCTTAAACGTGTTCAGCGTAGCGGAGTCAACCACTTCCCTGGGTATTCCAATGCAATGATTGACTGTTCTCATTGCAAAAAATTTACCTCTCGTGTCCAATCGGAATCTCCCTGGCAGTAACTTGTACCCGTTACCCCTTGTCCTCACCATGTGACTCCTTGTAAAAAGGGAGTCTCCATCTTCTCTGTAGCTCCCCTTTAAGTACTGGTACCTGGTGATGAGATCACCTCTAAGGCCTCCTTTTCTCAAGGCTGAACAAACCCAGCTCTCTCAGCCTGTCCTCATACGGCAGGCTTCCCAGACCCTTCATCATTTTGGTGACCCTTCTCTGGACCCCCTCCAGCCTGTCCACATCTTCTTTGTATAACGGGGACCAGAGCTGTACACAGTATTCCAGGTGTGGCCTGATCCTGTACCATCACACAAAATCACAATAGTATAGATTTGCTACGGAAATACCGCGCAAGCATAATTTACCATAATTTACCTTAACTGAAGGTAGCTATGTATTACATTCTGACCGTAAGTTTATCCCCCCTGACCTTGATCTGTGAAGGATTAAGAAAGTTCCTCTCAGATTTGACACCAATATTTTATTTTAATGTATTCTTCCAAGACAAAAGCACGTTATCACTGTAATGGTAGTAATTTTTTCATGCACTCAGAGAATTTAATATCACATACAACTAACTACCATTTTCAGATGTTAATGACAATGCCAATACAAAGTGGTTTACCCTGGCTCGCTCCAGGCTCTTTATCTGCTCATGGAATGCAGCTGGACTTTTCAAAGCTGTGAAGGAAGAGTAAGAGTTAAATTGAAAGGAAGTGATTTCCAAAATAAATATCCTAATCAGTATGTGTGTGTGGCTGTTTAACACCATCTCAGAGTTGTGTTTGCATCTGACCAGGTTTACATTTGACTCATGCTAGTTATATTCACTTATGTTTAACAGAGATGAGCAACACTCCTATACAGAATATTTGGAGTAGTTGATTTTAAGAGATATTACCATGTAACAGTTAACTTTTTCACTATATACACCAGGGTCTATTTACCAAAAGTGTTTCACCGTAGAAATTTTATGAGGTAAGGTTCAAAATGCCAAAATACTGTTTAATTTATTCCACTGTATTTACTGTCTGTATATAGATCTCATACTTGCTGTTACTAGGGAGAACTGGACCGTCCCTTAAGAACCATTTGTGCTAATTTTAAAAAAAAATTTGTAGAAGCCCCAAATGTTCAGATTAGAAAACAGAATGATGGTTAGCTGCTAAATAGCCAAAAAATGTAAAAAACACTATTCAGCTAGAAATAATATGAATTGTAGAGTGCTTCATCTCAATTGGATTGTTGAAAGGAAGTGAAATGGCAGCAGGCATGATCCATCTTATTTGCCACACTTTTGGCAGAGACAAGATACTGCAAAACGAAGTCTTTAACACTTTTTGACAGGTTAGAAGTTTTTTCCCAGGTTTCACTCAGAAAGAAACAGATCATTCCGTTCCTGAAGATAATCAACACCACAGCCCTGGGAAGGTGAAGATGCTTTAGCAAAGCAATCTGAAGTCTGTTGCATACTCAGAAGCCTTCAAGAAGAGATCAGCTTTAAGATACTGTGCTTTCAAGCTAGAATCCACAAGTGCACACTGCACTATTTATAATAATGACATAATTTTGATATGTTTTCAGTGGCTGGGGTTTTTGTTTGTTTTAAGAAAAATAACTTTTCACAGTTGAATCTTTTGACAACTTGGACCTATTGTCTTGACCCCAGTCCCATCCCACGCTGTCCACTTAGGGATTCTCAATGTTTTCTGTGCCCCCCTCATTCTGAGGCCAGGCTGATCTCCAAAACAAGTCAGAAGATGTTACACTGAGCAATTAGCATAGTCATTGGGAGCCTAAGTGGAGGAACACGAAAACATCTCTAAGGAAAGAGTTAACTGCAGGTGAATTCTAGGCCACTAAATATCTGTATTCAGGAGGATCCTCTTGTGATTCCTAAATTGATTTTAGGTATCATAAGTGCTGCTACTGAAACAACCATAGTCTCTAACAGATTGAAATCAATAAAGGAGAAAATGGACTCTGGCAATAAAGTGGAATTGCATAAAGCATGCCAGTTACTTACTTTCCAAATACAAGTGCTGTGAGTTCAGCCATACAATTGTAACAAATATGTAAATTTACAAACATTATTTGCTTGTCAAAGCACTATGATCTGCAATTAAATCCCAGTGACAGAACACAGTTAGAGGTAAAAACGGTTTACCGAAGAACTGATAATTCTTGCATAGCTGTCAAGGATGGCAGGTAGCCAGGCCAAAGAGTCAGAAGCTCAGCATTACAGAATCCTGAAATCATAAATACACCTCCAACTGTATTTATGAACTTGGTGACATTGCTGCCTTAGTGAGACACTTCACACTAAGGTGATCAACAGCATCTCAACTCTTCCAAAGACAGCATCTAAAGGCATTCATTGAATTTTTACCACTACATAATCTTTGGGAGAGAATACAAAACTCTTACACCAATTTGGACAGTTTGCCAGGTGTGGCAAGTTGATCAGGAACTCTTGGCAACTGGAAAAAAAATGTTCTAAAACCAAAACAGTTTTCTAAAAAAAAAAACAAACCAAAACCAAACAACACCACAAAACAAAGAAACAAACAAACCAAAACCCCAAAAACCACAAAGCCACTTCCCATATTCTTGGAAAGGTATTCATACTCAGAAAGGCCTAGGCACAGAAGCTTCTGCATTAGGTCATATGATCCAGCATACGATGCCCAGCCTAATCCACTGCCTCATGTCCTGTAACAACACAGCTACCATCATGCAAGATTTGACACAGAAGACACATCTGTTGGTGCATAAGTCACAACTTCTATGTGTCCTTTGTATTTGTTTGGCATCCCTTGCCACCCTGCTCTTTAAAGACTGCAGGCTTTGTTATTGATGTCCACTCATTCATATAATTCAATTTATTTCAGTAAGATTAGTCATAATTTAAAGAGAGAAAATAAAAGCAAAATCAGACTATGTCTGCAAATCCTTGCGTCTTCATCACAATGGCTATTTTAACCGAAACATTAGGTAAGCATGATGGATTTACTTCATGCTCATTTAGATTACCAAAAGGATCCCACAGGTCTTTTCACATGATAAAGTTATTTTTCATGATTCTCACAGAAATGCTTACCTTCATTATTTTATATATTCAGTTCATAATTAATACAGTACAGTAATACAAATAACTAGAAATAATGCAAGTCTTACGTGGCATGATGCCCTGGTCCACCAGCTGTTCTCGTGTCCGTCTTTGTTGGAGCCTCAGCTGAAGTACTGACAAAAGAAAACAATCATTCATTCATATGTAAGCATACTATCCCTCTGAAAGTACAAAAAAACCCACTCAGAAGAGAAAAAGTGTTTCAACTTTAGAAATATTTTTTCTATCGGTATTCAGACCTGACAGTAACCTCTAAGACACCTGACATTAAGGATCAACTGCTATTAACATAGTTTAGAGCGATTGCTTCCAATCCCTATTTATCTTGGAGTTTGCTGCTTTTTGGTCCCATCTGATAAAGGGACTGTATTTCAGACATACATCCACTTTTCCTACCAGTTAGGCCTCATAAGAGGTATTAAGTATACATCTGAATCTAGGATTTTTTTTTCCCCTTCTAACACTACTCTTAGATAACAGATTCAAGAAAACATAGTGATGTATAAAGAGTTTATACCATAAACTGCAATGATGATACAGCCTTCTTACATGTCTTAAACCAATCTTACATGACTGCACTAAGCTGAAATAGAAATTATGTTTGCAAAACATTTTAAAAGAAAAGCTGTATGTGTTTGGTTGATAGTTTTTCCTTCGGGATTTTTTTTTTTTTTAAATATGAAGGCTTATTGTGCATTTAAATGAATCTTGCTGAAACACAAGAAACTGAACAGAAACCAGATTTTACCTGGCTTATTTAAATACATCAAAAAAGTGATACAATCAGGAACAGACTTTATCCTCTCTCTGAACATCAGAAAATGCTGTCTTCCTGATTGACATATGTGTTATCATAATTATTTCAAGGACCAAATAAATCCAATACTGTCAAATTTGGAAAAACTGTTTACAGTTTCAGAGGTAACTTCTTATGTTTCATTATATTTAATAAAATGTACAAAGGTTCTCATCTTATTGTTACTGTAAGAAGAACCAATGTGACACACATTAAGTACTATACCAGTAACTGCACAAAACCTGGGGGAGGGCATAGACATAAAGGCCTCGTACTTTCAAAGATTAGGGCTTTTTTGTAAATGTTCCCAGGGGAAAAAAAAAAGATGATGATGATGGAGAAAAAAAAAAAGTAGTCGTTTGTTTCTTCTACTGTTCCCTTCCCCTTGTTTCTCTATCAATTTATCATAGTATTTCATTATTTCTTGGACACATACAGCCACTACCCTAACGTGAAACTTCATCTTTTGAACAAGAGATGGTAAAGATGCTTCATCAAGAAAAAATATATTAAAGATGTAATATTTACATTCTTAAATTCTGCCTTGATAGCTTATTATGGATGTATGATTATGACATGCTGCTCCCATTGTATTTCACAAGGAAGCAAAACAAACTAATGCATTGTCCAAAACATCAAAATGAATGCAATTTCTAAAAAATTAGGCTAAGGACAAAGTTCATTGTTTTCAAAATTTAAAAGGAACCAGCTTATTTCCTGTTCGACAGTACAGGAAGGATACTCCTCTGGCTAAAGCATTAAGACCGGGAATAGCAAGTCCTGAAAACAAGGACGTTATTTTCTTGTGTCACACAAACATTGAGAATTTAAATACAAACATTTCAGGGCAGTGGCACGGCAGTTCTGGTCAGAGTTTACAATATTGTTACACAAGAATTACAAAGGACAGAATTGGGAGAATGCAAAAGTAACAATAGTAAAATGTAAACTGATGGAAAGCCAGTCAAAATATATTGAGTTCCTCTGGAAACTTGAAAATAACTCCTTTAAATAATGAATTGTATTTTCCAAGTAATATTAAATGACTGTAAAAAGTTAACTGAAGAATTACTTTATAATGGTTTGAATTATTTATTTTTGGTCTTCCTTAATTTCACGTGGCTCCAGGTGAGCCGTGTCCTCTTCTTATGATAGCTCTTACTAGCAGATGCAAACTTGTGCTGCCTGAAGTCTTGAAGCAACAAAACACACTCCTTTCAGCAGCGCTTCCTACGTTGGCTTTGGCAGCATAGTATAGCTAGCTACATACACCCAGTAAGTTCAGAGCATGGGTAGAGAAAGTTCAAATCTTTCTGCACAGAACCACATGGGTTTCTAAGTCCAATTGGTCTAATCTGACCCAAAAAATGCAGATAAGTGTGTGCAAACACACATGCAACCGTACATCCAATTTCAAAAATCCACAAGCTTTATACAGTTAAGTGTGAATGAAGAAAAATAATGTAGTGGGTCAGGACTTAGCCCATTCCTACAGAAAACTTCAAGAAATGCACATTTCAGTGAAAATGCATTTCAAGCATACGATATAATATTATGATATTAAGCTTCTGGGGCTACTTCTAGGAATTTTCTACTGCACTAGCACAAACCACTGCGAAATTCGCTAACTGGTGTGGTGTTTACAGGAAAGCAAAGAACTCTGATATGTTCTTCTTTTGGATTCTCTGGCTTACAGCTGTAAAATCAAAACAGCTCAGAGTTAGTCTTAAAACTAAATGGGCAATCCCTTTAAAAATCTTAAATAAGTTTTACCCATCCAAATGGTGGGAGAGAATTTATAAACAGCATGGCAAGACTACCATATTTCAGACTCAATATTTTTGGTCTTGAGTAGATTAAAACTTGACTTTCTTCTGTTCTTCGCTCAAACTATGCTTCCTTTTACACAACTAGGAAGCCGTGGGAAGGGTTGAAAACCATGTACTGCTCTAGGCAGGAATCTCATCTATGCTATACAGCTGTATTTGGTCCAAATTTACACCATACTTAAATTTGGCTTTCTTGGAACACTAAACACGCTACAAATGTGTCTACCAAATCTTTTACCCAGTTACAAGTCAGTTTTAAACATATGCCTCTTTATTTCAGGCTCAAGGTCTTCAAGAAAAATGACCTGCTCCAACATCAGTTATGTCCAGGGTAGAGCTGATACACGTCATCAGACACAGTAAGTACATCAGAATTAGTATTTTTTTCAATGCCATCACCTGGAACGCAGTGGATCAACAAGCGAATGCTGGTAATATTACAACAGATGCAGGAATTTTATCACTGATGCAAGTCATCTACTAACATATAGACGACTCGCATATCATTAAGAAAAAAATGCATTTGTGGTACGTTATATTTCTGATTTCTAATATGCTTTTTACTCAGGCTTTCTTTTTTACTAAGCTTTATCATAAAACCCATATTGTAAGTGTAGCTGGTTCAGCTATGGCTACCTAAGCATTGCTAGTATGGTGCTTTCAGATATTAGTGAACAGAAGTGGGAAAGTTAAAACAATGTTCAAATTGACCTTCAGACTATAGAATGATAACACTGTTTTGCAGAGTTGATAACAACAATTTGAAAGCCCTCACTAACTCACCAATTTGGACAGTTGGCTAAATTGGAAAATTATTTTGCAGGAAGTGCATACACCATCTACTCTATGAAACCTACTACAGACAACGGATAGTTGTTCTTCATCTTATCAGACTTATTTAAAATTCTAAAGTAGTACCACTGCAATCTCAAATGTGATGTGCAAAGCCTTCATGCAGGAAAATATAGCTTGACAGTGTTTTTTTAATAAAGTAGTTTAACTGTTAAAAGTACATACAAAGGGGCAGAGTTTTATCAGAAATTTATTGTTTATTAATTAGAGATCTGGCTTTCCCAGATCCAGATATTGACATGACTCTCAGACCATGGCTTTTCATCTTTCATATGAAAAGGATCAGTCTTCTATTTGTCATTCCACTACACCATGACAGACAATGCTCAGGTCATACGGTTGGACTGGACAGCCTAAACACATCCCACCAGTTCAGCATTTAACAATTATTACATTTTAATTTTCCATTGGCAAGTTTGTGGGAGGAAAAATCCGAAAGGCCTCACACTGCACCTTGGCAATACAAGTAAGCTAAATAACTACTCCAACACTTCTAATACGTATTCTCCTGTGTTCTCCTAAAGTATACTTTAAAAAGAGTCTCCCTGAAGTACATTCGGCTGCTGAAATTTCTTTTGGGGAAAAAAGAAACAAACACACAAACCACCCCACAAACAAAAAAACCTCAAAAAACAACATATCAAAGTTTCTCTGTCAAGGTCCTGTTCTGAACCCTTTTTCAACAGCACTAGTAACATGGAAGCGTCAGGAACATACCATGTGCGCGTCCAAAGAGGAAGACACTTTGAACACTGTGAGCGCACTGGTATGGACTCATTGAATGCGATGCAGTTCCTGTCGCTCTGCATTTGTGCTAACTGGTGTGATGTGCGTCAGAAAGGGGGAAAGGCCGTGCCTCCGTCTGACATCACACTTGCATGCAGTCCTACGCCATGGAAGCACCAACATTATAAACATACCCCAGTGCATGTGTTACTTATGTTTGTGGCTGATGTGATTTCTGTCAGTTCCTGAAAATTAATGCTGCTTGGCCATGGCCATGATAGGTGGTACCCCCTGAGGAAATGGGAGAGGGAGACTAAAATAAATCTATTCAGCAAAAAAATAGTGGTAAGAATGTACGTAGCTTATCTCTTATTTTCCCACTCGTTTCGACTAATTCTTTAATGAACATTAATTCCCCATGTAGATGATGGGAAGCCCTGCTACATAATTTATGAACGTATTATATCTATGATTTGTGGCTTCAATTATGATCAGATATTTGGCTTAAGCTTTGCAGAAAGAGTAAGAAGTGACGAATAGCCTAAACAATGTATAGTCTTACAAGAGAATATGCAGCGGACTATAGAAGGATGAGAAGAGCAGTAAGAATGTACTTGCACATAAACCATATGCGCTCAGGTTTCATGTGAAGCTTTAGCATTTTTAGCATATACATATATATATATATAACAAATAGTTATTGCCTTCCATAACACTACTTGCCTACCCATCATCTGTTAACCTACACTGGGCATCACAAAGCAAATAAGGGATGATTTTGAAGTTATCCCATGTGTATCTGGAAAAGTCATAAAAACTGTGGGAGGACTGAAAAAACAAGAGCTATAGAAAATATATAACGTGCAGCTATTCACTGATTAAATAAATATCAGGAGCTTATATATGTTAC